CCTTTAAAAACCTTTTTCTCTCTCAGGTCCCAAGATGGAGCAACATCACACTTGAATTTTGCATTCCTGGCAATATTCCTTTCCTCACTGTCCTGATCTTCTACTTCACTGGAGAATTCCAGCCTCTGCCTCCTTTCACTTGGACAATGTCAGAAGCATCAGTTTGAAAGCAAACCCACCATGGTCAAGGAAAAGAGGTGGTGAGGGCTACACCAGCATGGGGTCAGGTCGTGCTCAGCATGCTGCCCAAGGTCTCTTCCAGTTTCAGAGGACTGTCTTTGTGGGACTGGCAAAACCTGATTCTTTGTGGCTATAATTCAAGCCAACTGGATCAAATTAATTTAGCCATGAAGACTCTTTGAGCATTATTATAATGTCCCTGGAGACCATATAAAAGGGCCCCAAACCAATATTAAGTAGAAACCATAGCTGTAAGAATGACCATGTGCATTACAATGAGCTTAGGATACTAAGATAAGTGCTTGGCTGGTTTGTGTCCTTGACCTTATTCCTCCAAATCAGTGTCTCCAGCAAGGCCACATAACTGAGGACAGTCCCCTGAGTGACTTAGTCAAAGGAAGTATGAAGTGAAGCTGAACAGTTCTGACATTTAAATTGTCATGGAGACAGGGTCTGTAAGAAGCAGCCCAAATCCTCCTCTATTTTGCCATCACTTTAAATAATTTAAATCGAAAACCCTCGCTGCTGAATAATGCTTCTTTTCTTTTTCTGGTGGATTTTTTTTCCCTTCTGGGGGAGTTAGGAGGTGGTGAGGGAGGGTGGCTATGGCAAGGCCTTCAGCTCACACAGACTTTTAGCCCTGAGATGTCACTGGAGAGGCCACGTGAAAGTTCTGATCTGCAGTCATTTCAGACAGATGTTCTCTGGGGAAGGCAGCTTTGCAGTCCTCCTGGTAACACGACCAGTATGTGCTAAAATCTAGAAGCTTAAGCTCAGTCCATCTGCATCGTCATGGCATCATAAAAAGGGGTACTCCCTTTGCACAGCGGGGTTCAAGGCTTTCTTTATATCTCAGTGGAACAGGGTGAGTAAGATGATTACTCTGGGACATTGGAGAAATAGTGCAGTAAAATGACTCAGTATGGTTTCCAACTTCCAGCTGGGAGAAGCAGAGTTCAGCATCTTCCACAGGGATGGAGAGCAAGGGCACAGCAGGACAGAGTTCCATGGCACACAGCCACCATGGCTAGGCCAGCCCAGCCCAGGGGCTGTGCCGGGCAGTCACACCCTAACTCTTCTGGTCATGCCTTCATATTGCCCAGGGAAGCCTGAGCTACTGGTAGAGAGCAAAAGTCTCTTTGATTTATGATCTGAGTGTTGACTTAAGCCTAGAAAAGGCATTTGGATTAAGAGGTAAATTTATTTCTCCCAGTTCTTAGATATATATGACTTTATAATTCTGTGGATGGGAGGTGGAGGGACATTATTGTCAGAATTCATTAGGTTCTTTTGGCTAACTGTAAGAGTAGACCAGTGATTTCCAACTGGTGTGCCACAAGAATTTTTATAACATGCCATACCTGACTATGTAGTCAGGGGCACCAACCTCTTTTCCCTTAGATTGTCATATAAAAAAATGAAAACAGCCAACACAAGAGTAGCCATCTGGTGTGAATGAATTAAAATTATACCTATTTTTTGCTCTGATCAGCAAAGGTATAATTTTGTGTGTGTGTGTGACGCAGAACTTCAGTAAGTAGTTTGTATGTGCCACGAGACAAAAAAGACAAAACCGCGAGAGTAGACCATTCGTCTGTGAAATCTGAGGCAGGAGCAGGTATCGAGAATAAAAACTAACAGGATACATCTCTGCAAATAAAACACCTAGAATCTTCTGAAACCACTGGGCTTGCCCAAGACCACTTGCCAGCCTCAGTTCACTTCACATTTCTGGCTTGTGCAAGAACTTCTTAACCCACAAATGGATGTTTTTGAAGATTGAGGCTTAAAATATTTTTCGCCTTCCAGATGACATTTCTGACTTTTCACCCAGGTTAAGAGCTCCTTGCTTTGGCCCTGGGAGGTGGAAGAGAGGGAAAGTGGGAAGGATGCCACCTGGGCCACAGGTAGCTCCTGTTCTCCTGAGCAAATGGAAGGGTGGGTTCAAACACAAAAGAAAAAGGCAGAGAAAACATGAGATTTTTTTCAGAGTAATTTCTCCCACCAGCAGGATATGGATGCAGGGAGTCAGGTTGCAATCAGGCAGAACCCAAGTGTTCTTTAAGAAAATGTTCCCTATTTTTATGTGCCTTGGCAAACTCAGGGTGGAATGCAAGGGTTGCCATGGCAACACCTCTTTTTTTTTTTTTTTTTTTTTTTTTTTTTACAGACTGGTCACATGAGACCCACACACATTCTGGAAGCCACTGCTAATCATTTTTATGCTGGGTCCTGTTTGGAGGCTCTGTCTGCTTCTAGAGTGGTGGGTGACAGTTCTTTGGGGGCCCAAAGGCATCAGGGTCTGTATCCCTTGTCTCACAAGCAAAATACCTCCTTGATCATAACTGTGTGGTCTCGGGGAACACCCATCCTTGCAAAAAGAATGAGCCAAGTACAGTTTGCTAGTTACTCAGCTGTCCTATAATAGACCCCTTTGTCTATTAGCTGGGAGCACAGAGGAAGAGTTGGGATTACTCCTCTCCTCTCCTCACTGGGGCCACAAAGCATGGGGGACCAGGACCTTCCAGAACCTTCCAGAATCTTCACTATGTGCATCGAAACCCCTGTGGTGAGGATGCTAACAGGTGGGGACCCTGGAGTAGCAGTGGTGTGGACAGGGCTTAGAGCAGGGCTGTGGGAAGTCAGCACCTCAGACTGCCGGACGACCCTCCAGACAAAGCACCTGGGGCACAAGTCACCAGGACGGGCTCTCAGCTCCCCAAGTCTCAGGAATGCCACTGCTCTGGGTTGTCTCCACACACTGCAGGCCTCCGGTGGTACCTGTGAGGTCATCGTGGAGGAAGTTGACTTTTAGCTCATCAAAGAGTTCTGTGCTTGCCTTTGTGTCCTCTCTCCTGAGCAACCCCCACAGTGGATGCACTCCTGGGTAGGATGGCTGACTTGTGGGTCACTGGGTCACTGGGAGAGGAAAGAGGTCCTCTTTGGGGAGAGGATGCTGAGGACTTTGTGGGGAACAGGCTGTTGGTCCCTCTCCAGAACTACTTTCAGTCTCCATCCCCTGCATGGTGGCTAATCTGTCTTCCAATAAAGTCTAACCCTCACAGCTTCAGGGTCCCCATTCTCCAGTGGAAGGCAGAAGAACTGGCAGAAAACCAGCCTTTGAAGTATTCACTTTCAGCCTTGCCCACAGCATTGCAACCCCCTCTCATGGGGCACAGTCCTTTAAGAATCATCCCTAGGACCTCTATCCAGTCTACTTAGGATCCGGCACCCCCTCCCTAGTCTGACGTGGTCTAGTGGTTCAGGGGGTCCTTTCCACCCAAGTACAATTGAGGGGGTAGGACAACTGCTTTGGGCAGGAGCTAATGATGAAGCTGTCTTATTAGAATTCTGTGTTTGGACCTGTTCTCATTCAGGATTCTGATGGGGGTGGGGGTGGTGCATGGGAGTGAGGACAGGGGAGAGAGAAGAGGCAGTATGTGGGGTGTGCTGTGGCAGGGCAGGGCAGGCAAGAGGGACAGGCAGGCTGGCGCTTTCCTGGACTGGATGTGTGAGACCCCAGGCATTTCATTCTCAAACTCCTGGGCTCTCGAAAGCTTACACCTGCTTCTTCCTCTGTACTATGGCTCAAACCCTAGTTTTTCTTGTGCTCTTCATGAATATTCTCGGTCGCCCACAGAGGGGAAGTTCCTATAGCTACCCTCAGGCTGCTGCCTGAAGTGCCTGCAGAGGTGATTCGAAAGAAGACCCAAAACTGAGACCTTGGACGCTCCAAGTCTGAGAAGGCAGTAGGGAGAAAGCAGGAGGAAGGGGAGGCTTGGGGAGAGGTTCAGGAGCACACACTGCACCAAGAAGCCCACCTGGCTGCAGTGAGAGAGGAAAGATTCTAGAGCCTCAATATTGGAAGAAAGGGGAAAAGCATGTAGCTTTAGGAAGCATTGGGGAGAAAGAGGAGCAAGACAATTCCATTATAGAAATAAGGACCTGAGCTTGGAAAAGTACAAAGGGAAATATTCCATTGAAATATCATTGGCTAATCAGACTATGCAAGCTTGAATTAACAGTGGCGGCTGATATGACATCTAGGAAAAGTCAGGATATTACAGACTTAAAATGGTGTTGAAAACAGACTACTGGATTCAGTTTCCTTCCCCAACACAAGTATTCTACAGGCAGGAGTAAATTACCTGTCCTGTTGGCTAAGCTTATTAACCTCTTTTTGTCTTTTCTCATGGAAATGAGTCGGTTGCAGGATCTGAATGCCTGAAGATATTATGTAAAACACAGTAGTTTGATCTTTCCACTCTGAATTATATTTCTCTTTTTATCTGGGGAAGACTAACATACAAAGCAAACTGTAAGATGAGAAGAAGGTAAGATGCACAAGGACCTTAACTCACAGAGGTCTTCTGGCAGGGAGATGTGTGCAGCTCCATCAGTTCAGACGACTGGGGTGTGGACTGCAACACCGCCTCACCACCTGTCTTAGTCCCCTGTCCCCCAAACTATGTCTCCTAGCCAAAGGAGGTAGGGACTGTGCCAGAGGACAAGCTTATATCAGGAGTAAGCGAATAGGGAAGAATGATGTCACAGATGAAGAAGCTGAATAGATACGTCTGTCTACCTGTCTATGTTATTATAGAGATGCCCACGATTATGCTTCTGTTTTCTTTAATGGCAGCACAGGCAGCAAAGCTGGGAGGAAGGCTCTCTGCAGATTCCAAAATGCTGGTGCGTGATGGGCTCTTAGGAACAGAAAGCCAAGTACAGATGGAAACCGAGAACTCCCCAACTCTGCCAAGAGTCCTGTAGAAAGGCAGTAAGAACGGAAGCATGGGAGCAGCTGCAGGCCACCAGGTCCTGCACCCCATCCGGTGGCTTTCCCCTCATGCCTTGCGGGGCTCCGCTAGGTGGAGGAAGAAGCCAGGGTCAGAAGGAGAGCCCCTTTTCTGCAGCAACCCCAAAGTCAGCCCCTTGGGTTACCCGTAGGGGTGTCCAGTTGCCCAATGGGTTGAAAGAATGGGGTGTGGAGGTGACTGCGTGTTCACGCCTCTCTCGCTCTCTCACTCCATCGGCCTGGATGGCCACTGGAATTCCGCGATGAAAATGTAGTTTATCTTCAGAGTTCCTGCAAGTGGTTGAAGCAATCATTCGGAACTCCTGGCTATTTATTGCATTGGGAAACAAAACCATTAAAGCATTTGAGACAGCCCTTTTGTGTCCCTGCCAAGGAGATGAAGTGGCCTTGCAACACCTGTTGCCCTGCAACCTTGGGTTCTTCACTGAACTGTGCCACTGCGTCCAAATCTGCTTTTGAGGAGGAACAGAGTCTGCCCGCAGGGCATGCGCATGCGCAGGGAGCGGGGCCGCAGCAGTGTGGTGGCTGGAGGCTGCTACTCCATGCCGCTCCGCAGGATCTGGTTGGCCGCAATCAGCATGACGCTTATGATGAAGGCCATGGCGAAGGCGCAGATGAGGCTCTTCCGGACGCAGGTCTGTCTGTTCTGTTTCTGGGAATGCACTGGAGGTGGAGGAGTAGAGAGGGCAAGGAGACATGGAGGGAGGGGAGCGGAGGGGGAGGGAAGAGAGAAATGACATTTGTGAGGCAGGCTTCACCTCTTTCTCAACCAGCCCAGAGTCCAGTCCATAGGACACAGACTAGTCAAGTCCACCGGCATTTCTGGGACAACTCTCAGAGGAGACTGAACACCACCTCCTCCTGTAAATAACAGGAAATGATGAGGCTTCTACGACAAAGACCATGACAAATGTGCAGAGTAAGGTATGAACTTGCAGACATCATAGTTACAGTGGCTTTCTGAGTGAGGAAACATGGAGTGTTTCCGAGTGAGTTTCACAAAGGGCATCGCCCAGGCACAGTTGTGTTGGCTTCTGAGCAATGCCTGGGAAGCCGGAGCGAGGTCCCCACCTGTCAGTGCTGGGCAGGAAGCACTTACCTTTCCCAGAATAGTTCTTGGGTGGCTGTGGGTCCCAAAGCAACTCTAGCACTATTTCAGATCTGCCCACCGGTGATTCTAGTGAGGGGTCACTGGGCAAGCAGCATCTGCATCACTTATTAAAAATGCAGATTTTTCAGGTGGGGCCCACCCCAGATCTACTGAATCAGAGAGTCTGGGGTGGGGCCAGTGATTGAGGTTTAACTAGGTGGCCCTGGTGCCTGCTGATGTCTGAGAAGTGGGGACCACAGGCGCTGGGGACAAGACCAATGGGAAGCAGGCAGGTACAAAACCGCCTCAGACTTTCCAGAGGCGGGGGTCCTCAGATCCTGCTGCCCCACGGGTCTGACCTTGGGTCCTAGGGTTGTGTACTCTTCATCCTTTTGTTGGGTCCGGTCTCACATCCCTGTTTGTATAAGGCCCATGAGACACCATTAGTGGGTCTCAACACAAAGTATTACTTAGTGGATTCCAAATATGCAGCAGAAAATGGAAGTGAGAGGAAAGAAGTTTTGATAACATACGCTGAGAAAGAACAAGTCTCTTTCCTAGGCCTTGCTTCCCAGGCCAGAGTTCTTTCCCTTTCTCCTTTTTGTCTGTAACTCCTCCCCTCTGGGTCCCATCCTGCAGTGGCCTTTGAACACAGTTTACCACTTAGTTTATGGAAGAAATCTGTGCCCTGGAGGCAGCTGGGAGGCTCCCTGTAGCAGAGCTGCTCACTGGAGCATCAGCACCGTCTGGGAGTTTCATATAATGCAGCTTCTCAGGCCCCACTGCAGAATTACTGAATCAAAACCTCTGGAGGTGGAGGCCAGGAACAAGTATTTTAATAAGCTAGCTCTCCAGGTGATTGGAAAATTGCTGGGCTCCACCCCCGGAGTTTTTGATTCATTATGTCTGGGTATAGCTGAAGAATCTTCATTTGAGTTGCTGAGGACAGGAGGTGTGTGTGTGTGTGTGTGTGTGTGTGTGTGTTAGGGACACTGGAGTAAGGGGTATTAGGGAAGATGGTTGTTTTACATTCAGTTGTTAAGAAACCCAATACCAGCACAGAAGAACACTTTTGGGTTACACTCCATTTTAAAAGGGGGTGGTCCTTCTGCTAGACACACCTTTAAAGAGCTTTTAAAAAAGGTTCAGTTTCAAGTACCTCTCCCTCTTGACATCCAATGACTCCTCCAGATCCTAGAAATACAAGGGAAGCAGTAGGAGTCTGGCAGTGTGTCCAAAGGCAAACAGAACTTTCCCTGAGAGAAGGGATCTCAGGGGCTTGTCAAGGGGCCTCTAAAAATTATGTCTGTCAGGGAGTTTCTCCAGCAAGCCCTGCTTCCCGGAGACCCGGTGCCCAGGCAGCGCCCTAACCAAAAGTTGATGGTTATTTCTGCCATGGTCTCTTAGGTTTTGTGTTGTTATCTTTAATTCCATGGGGCTTCTGCTTCCCTTAGGTGACTGGAAGTATTTTTGGTTCAGTTCTTTATTTACTGATCATGTCTGAGTTTTAGAATCTTATAGGTTCTTAGCAGAAGGAAGAAAATTCTCTTGTGCTGAGATGTGCCCCCCCCCAGGATGGGCAACTGTGAAGAGACGCCAGCTCTCAGGAAGGGACAAGGAGGTGGCGTTTGAGAAGGGAAGGACTAGAGCAGAAATAAAGTGTGGAAGTGGAAGTAGCGTATCTAACACTTTGCCAGGACTGGCTAATTTATTCTGAGCAGCTCCTCAGCATAAAAATGCTTTTCTGAAGGCAGTTGTCTACCTTTCTATCCCAACGGCTGGCTGGCAGGGCTTAAGGAAATGCACAGTTGTGTGATTGAGCTGAGGGGGAAAGTTTTTGCTGAAGCCCTTCTCTGTCAAGGTTATAGGTGACAGGATTATCCCTTAGGACAGAGGCTGCTCCTTTGATGTAAAAATCCTTAAGTGGTAGGAGGGGAGAGATGGGGAAGGAGAGGCCAGGAGACAGAATAGTGTGCACGTGAGGCCATGCAAATCTGAACCCAGACCAAGGTCCTGTACACAGTGGAGCTCCCAGCTCATTCCTCCATAGCTCTGAAATGGATAATCATCCAAGCATGATTCAGACTCTGCGCTGTGATGAGAATCGTGTTATGTCCACTCTGCCATCACCATAGGTTTTGTGGCAGAATGAAAAAATAAGGACTTTCAGAGCCAGACCCAAACGTGAACTGTGATTACCTCACATTCTAGCTGTGTGACTTTGGCCAAGCTAATTTCCCTGGGACTCAATTTCCTCATCTATAAAATGGGGGTAATAAGACCTACCTTGTGGTGGAAATTAAGGCCACCAAAGCTACTGCAATATTGTTTATGCCCCATGAATGTGAATTCCCTTTTGTAAATCTTTTAAAAACTCCCCTTTATGCATGAGCACCTCCCCCCACCACCCCGCCCCCGCCACCACATGAGCCGGGTAGCCGTTATATGCTTTATACATAGCATAGTGGAATTGTAGTGTGGCAGTCCTTCGTGAGCAGGGTGTGGAGTCCTCTTTTGATAGGTGGGGGACCTGAAGCTCCAAGAAGTGGAGTCCAAGGTCATTTGGCAAATGGTGGAGGTGGGATTTGAGCCCAAGTGTAATTTAATTTCCAGGTTCAAAATCTCTACACAAACTCCCTCTTCTGAATCATCTGCTTGACAGAACAAAGTTCAGCAATAGAAAGATGCAAAGAAAATGCACTTTGAACACTTGGTGTGATTGGCAGAGTATAATCTGGCACTAATTAATGTGCTTGTTGATAATAATTTAAAATCTGTCTTTGGCTGTCACATATTTGCATTGCACTATATTATTGTATACCCGTTTATTCTTGGTGTCTATTCTTTGTTTGCTCGACAAGGCAATAGGTCAGACTAAGATGAGCTCTGAGTTGTGCTCTAGTGTCTTCTCCTAACCGCCACTTAGGAGCAGCTGTGGGCAAGGGACTGAACGTCCCTGAGCCCCAGTTGCTCTCCCTGTAAAGGAGTTAATGATATCTGCCTTTCTTATCTCAAGGATTCTTTCAAAGATCAATGAGCTAATTAAAAAAAAAAAGCAAAGACTATGTCCAACCCCAAAATATTAGAGAAAATGCAGAATTTCCTTCTTGTATCCCTGGAGGACAGGAGAAAAGGGCTGCTTCTTTTCCTCTTGTTCCCTGCAGCCTCCAGCACAGCACTGAGGACACAGCAGACAACGCCAAACCTTCGCTTTGCTCTCTTCCTTTATTAATTCATCCGAACTGCAGCTAGACTCACCTTCCTGAAGCAGTGCTTAGTATGCATCAGCACTCCCTTCCACTTTCCTGCAAAGCTTCCTCCTCACCCCTCTGCCTTGCTGGGAGAAGCACACTCTATTCTTTCCAGCTCCTAAGCTCAGCGGGTAGGACCACGGATCACCTCCGGTCCCTTTCCCTGCTCTGCCCCTAGACCACTGCGCCTCCCCTGCAGCCTGTCTCAGCCAAGCAGGTCTTGTGGCTGGCTTTTCCACAAGACTCCGCAGCACTGTCGCACTGTTCCCTCTGCTGGGGGTGGCCCTGACCTTCTCTCTCATTGCTTCTGGGCCCAACCCAAAGAGGCTGTTCCTAAACATCCTCCTCCCAAAGGGCCAGATCTTTTAATTTCTAAATTGGTCTACCTGTTGATATTTGTTTATTTTTGATTTGAGATAGAATTCACATACCATAAAATTTGCCCTTTTTGAGTGTACCATTCAGTGGCGTTTAGAACATTCACAAGGTTGTGAAACCATCACCACTCCTGAATTCCACAACATTTTCGTCATCCTAAAAAGAAACCCATATGCATTAGAAATCACCCCTCATTCCCCCTTCTCCCTGGCCACTGGCAATCACCAGTCTGCTTTCTGCCTCTGTAGATATGCTTATTCTTGGCATTGCATATAAATGGAACCATATAATGTGTAGTCTTTCATGTCGGGCTTCTTTCAGTTAGCATGATCTTTCCCAGGTTCATCCATAATGTGGCACATCCCAGTATCCATTCCTTTTTGTGGCTGAATGATCTTCCACTGACTGGATGTACCACATGTGTTTATCCATTCACCAGTTGATGGATATTTGGGTGGTTTCTATTTTTTTTGACTATTATGAATAATGCAACTATGAACACTTGTATACAACTATTTTTGTGGACATATTTTCAGTTCTCTTAAATGTAATAATCTGTGTTTCAAATTGCTGGGCTACTTGGTAACTCTATGTTTAACTTTCTGAGGAAAGTTCCTTTCTGGAACATACGAACACTAAAAATGGCAATGCTGACGGCAATCTTTTCTATGTCTGCCTTCCCAGAAGGTCTTGCACCCTCTGTCTAGTGTAGTAAGTTGATACAGAAGGAGCCCAGAAAGTACATACAAGGGGATGGAATGTGAGTTGGGGGAAGTTGACACAGGAGAACAGAGAAGTGGGGTTTCTTGTTTTCAAAAGCATTTGTTAGCCAGCCCCAAACACCGACAGACTCCTGGCTGCCGGGCAGGGCTCGGGTGTCTGAGCTCCAGGACAGACTGCGCCTTCCCCCTGTCCAAGGGCTCTTGGATTTTTCTCCTGGAGAC